ATATATATATATATATAGCAAAATTCAAACTACTTTTTCCAGGTATGGAGGTATAGATATGAATCTTATGATAAAATTGTAGTGTCAGCGACTATGCAATTTTGTAAAAAGTTAGCCCCACTAAAGTATTCCATGTTCGAGGTTAGTGTTTATTACAAATGCTAGTGAAAACTGAGGATGTATATAGATTGCTCTAAAAAAAAAAAAATGCATAAAAAACTTCAACTATTTGGACAACAACTGAAGGATAAGAAATAGCTTAATTTGTGATTGATGTTGATGGTCACGTATTTCAGTGGGTGTAAAATATATTTACTTCACAAATGTAATTTCTGGGTAAAGTCTTTCTGGAGCTCAGTGGACTAGAGGGAAAGCCCAAATTACAAACTAGAAACACATACTTGACCAGTTAGAGCCTAACAGCCAACAAGGCCATCTGACCCCTCTGCTGGGTCTGCTAAAAGCCAGGTCAGGTACAGCTAAAGTCTTGTTCAAGGACACTTCAACAGGATAGAAGTGGGTTGGCACAGACGCTTGACCCTGGGTTGTCTGCTTCAGTGCACCAAACCCAAAGTGAGATTAAGTAATCATGTTGTTAACAAAATGACAATCAAATAAAAACAAAATGATCTTTTTATTAACAGTTTAGAAACAACACTGTTTTCATCTCCCCTTCCTGAATTTTAGACTTCTGCAGTTCTGCCCTGCAAATGACAATGATGAAATTGATATTGTACAACGCTGCCTCATCAATAGTTATGAGGACAGATTCATAGTTACAACAGATGTTTTTCAATTTCCATTTAAATCAACCGACTGTACTTTAAACACACTGTATGTACATGAGGTTTGCTCCCACTTTTTATCATGTTTTCAACATATATACCCACAAATTATATGGCCAAATAGATTCTGGATTGGAGCAAACAAAAAAAAAAAAAATCAAAAAAAAAAAAATCATATGTATGAAAAATCCCCCAAAGTACTCTAAATCACCTCTCACCCTCCGCTGTGGCCAACACCATTAAGTAGTGCACTTACACAGCGGCCATGAAACGTCAGTAAAGGAGCAGGTGTCAGGACAAATGGCAAAACACCATGGTTGAGGATACAGTGCAAAGGACAAAGCAGGAAATGAAATGACAAACCACTCATGTGAACTGTCCATATAGTTACTTCAATACGGCCAAGCATTGCTTAAAAGTCCCTGTGGATCAGCATTGATGTGATCATTTGTTGGACGTGAGAAGGGATTGTGTCTGAAACTATCACAGCACAGAACCAGTGTGGGGAGTTACTTCTGTTAAACTGCTTCTCCATGATGTTTAAGTGTCCGCTGCTTACAGAATCCATGAAAGAAAAGAGATGAACAGCACAGAAGAGGAAGAGGGACAAGATAAATGGTCTTTAATCCTTATCCAATCAGCTTCTGGCAGTTCAATAAACCGTGCCAAAGGAAAAAAAAAAAAAAAAAAAAAAAAAACAGAATGAGAAGGAACTAGAACATTTATACACTGTCAATAAATAGTGATTTCCCCCCCAGTTCCAGCTGTTATAATTCATCCTCTATGTGATTTTCAAGTTGGGCCTTCTCTGTTGGTCCTGCAGATGAAGACAGAGAAGGAAAGAATGAATATTGTGTGGATGTGGGATTATATCAGCTCATTTCATAGGTACAGAAAAACCCTAAGCTCTGTGGCGAGTATGTTCCCCTTCCTCTCCACGGCTTCAAGTGCTGAGTAACTCAAGCCCATCTTCACTAATTTAACGAGACACAAGAAAACCTGTTGCTATGGTAGCTGAGAGGGAATCGCTCTAACATTTGAAAAGGCCTTACCTGGAAAGAGGGAAAAATGCAGACCTGGCTTGTCATCTTATTCTCTCTGCTGATGTTTCCAAATACTTTTGTAGCCAAAGGCAATTTAATAATTCTTGTAATGTAAGACATCCATATTATTTGTCATTTTTAATAGCAAAGCCAGCGCTGTGACATTTCACATCTGAACGGTCAGTAGGAGAAACATGAGCTTTAGCTTTGGGTACAACTTTGTGTGCAACTTGTCAAAATGTAAAAAAGCTCCTTTGGATGAGAGAAGAACGTAAATCAACCTTTTATTGTAATAAATTACATCACATTATTAATTAAGATTTATTAATTTTGAACAGGTGGAAAAACAGAAGCATTACATGTTGACAAATTTTACCTTCTATGACTAACTTGTTTAAGAATTTTATTTTATGTTCCTTATTTGACAAAAACATCCAAATCTTTTGAATTTATATTTTTTTCATGTGCAAATTACTATATAGAACATTGCAGTAGTTATACGCTTTTTTATTTGTACATAATAAGCACTGTCAACTAAGAGCTTATTATAGCAGCTGGAGTTAATTACAGGTCATGTGACAAAAATATCAAAGTCTTTTCTGAGTCAGCACCCTGGAGGATGAATGATCTTAGTGGGTTGCCCACTAATCAGATCGTCTGTGGGAAAAGTCACAAAAGTGAGAGTGTGTGAGAGGGCGCTTCTCAAGTCTCTTAATTGCATCTACGTTTCCCTCACTTGCGTCTTTGGAAACGAAGGAACGAGGAAATATGTTTTTAGAGACGTCCTTTCCACTGAAGAGTCACATGAAGTGCCGTCAGTTTCTGATCACAGCTGGATCAGCTGTCAGTCGGCTCTAACAGCTGTAGAGACTTTTCATGGAGTTTGTGTCTGCACACATGTGCACTGTGTGTTGGCACTAAAAGTCTCACAGTTATCAGTGCAGCTCAGCATGATTCTCTGTAGCTGTTACCTGCATATGAATAATTATATGTTACTGTATGTCCTGCTCAGAGGCACAGGATCACTTCTACTGGCACAATGCTGATATTATCGGCATTTATATTCATTGATTCTGATTTTGTTATTGAATAAGCCAGAATATGATCATGGTGTCTTGGGACACTCAGTTTTAGGCTTTCTGTTCATTTCCTCTTCAGATATCCTCTAACACTACTGCATACATCTTATTTCAAAGTCACATCACTCGTCACGATCGATCACTGCGTTCCATCATATCTATCCAATGATTTTATTTTATTTTTTTGAGCAGTAGCACTTTTCATTCTTTCATCAGCTGATTTTACGCGCTTAGCCACCGGCTGCTTTCATCAGAAGCAGTGGGTGAGAAGGCTGGATGTGCAGGTTTTTATTTTCCTTTGCTTGCTTCATTAGAGACTTGAGTGCAGTTTAGGGACTTGTCCAACTCCTAACTTGTTCACTATGTTTTATTGTCATTGACTAAACACAGGAATGACCAGCCTCACATGAGACTGAATAGAAGTGACGGTAAATGATGTAAAACGTGTTTCTTGCCGACAGACTCTCTCTAACTGTCTCCATTATAAAAGTAGATGGGAGAAATAAAAAAGAAAGAATACTCTTTCTAATAAATGAAGAAAGTTGTGTGTGGAGCTTTTTTGTTCAGACCTACAATGAACTCAGATTTTAACTAGACAGTGAATCATAAAACAAATCAAATATAGCCTAACTCTTTGCAGTGATACACTTGAGTTTAATGTTATCTGTGGTGATGAATCAGATCAGTCCGATCAGCTGCAGTGTCCAATCTATATAATGGCTATCCAGTAAGGGAGCATGACGGTCAGTAAAAGACGTCCGCGAAGGATGCACTGGTGTATCCTCGCTAATAGCTCCTCAGAGATCGCTCCTTGGAGCGCAAATAAGAGCTTTGGGACGGTCTGCAAAATGGCGGAGAGGAACAACTTCCGGTTCAAGTGAGGATCGAGGAATAAGGAAACGACAAATACAGAGACTTGAGAAGTACCCTGAATGATTAGTTTCTTTCTGAAAGGCACATTGCAAGGTAGCCTCTGTGTGTGTAAAGGGGTGAATATGACATGTAGTGTAAAGGGCTTTGAGTGAAGTCAGAAGACTAGAAAGGTGCTATACAAGTACATTTCCTTCAGCGACTGATACCCCACCTGCGAAACATTAGTCCAGTAATATAATGTCCCATTCATTCAGTTCAGTGGAGATTTCTGAGCCTGTAGTTTACTGTCGTGTGTTCATGTGTTTGAATTGTTTTGTCCACCCCCCTAAAGTTCTCCGGAATCATCAGCAACAGGCTTAGCAGACCGACCTGTAGTTGTTGTTTCTTCTGTGGGCTGTGATTGGCTGTCCGGGTCTGCGTGTACAGTGCTCTCCTCCGTGGACGGGGCTTCGCCAGGCGGTACCTCCTCTGGGCCTTCTGTTTCAGAAAGAAAAAAATACATACAAGTTATTTTAAGCCAATCCACAGTTGTAATTCTTTTTCATATTTATAAGGGTATAATAACAGAAATGTGGGTTTTGGTGTTTGACCCACCACTCTTTGTGTCCGTGCTCTCCTCTGTGGGAGGGATGACCTTCTCCTCGGCCGTGTTGTTGGCCTTGCTGCCTTTATCAGAGCTGGTGCTGTTCTTGGTTTTGGCTTTAGCCTTCGGCTTGGCAAATTTGGCTTTGTTGAGCAAGTAGTTGACCTCTCGATCCAGCAGAGCTAGTTTGGACTCTATGTCCTTGGAGAGTAGGACAGGTCGCTCCTTTGGAGAGCGTTTCTCTTGCTCGGCTACCGTCTCATTCCTCCACGTCTGCAAGACACAGATTCAGTTTTACACATCTAGGTAATTTTCCTCTGTACAAGGAGAACTACAGCCTGTGACTGTTAGAAAATGTCTTCTGTGGCTCCAGGAGGGCCTTTCTATAGTCTGAGAAAATTACTCTGATGTCATAGACCTGTCATCAGGGCTATCTCAGCTGCATTATGGAAATATACTAGATCACTAGATTACTAGAGACTGAAAGTCAGGATATCCCAGCCTCTGTAGCCAAAATTCAGACCATTCAATTATAATCCGTCTTTTGCAAGGTCCACAACTTCACTGAAGAGCAATAACAACATGGGCAGAGTCCCTCTTAAGCAAACTAAATGAATAAGGTGACAATCCTCCACAGCAGTGTGATGACAGCATGACAACCACCACCTACCGTTGTTTCGTTGATCACTTTTTCTAACATATTCAGCTCAACTTCAGTGAAGATTTGGTCATCTTCTGGAATCAGTCTAGCACTCCTTTGAAATAAAAATAAAAATGAGTCAATACAAATCAACTGACCCAACACAAAATCCTCCAGCTGCTTCCCACCTTCCTTCCAACACTGACCTCAAGAAGAAGCTGGAGGTGTTTAGCATGCTGTCTAGGGCTGCCAGGCGGTCTGGCAATTTGCGTCGCTCCTCCACCCTGAAAAACATGTCCTTGCACAGGCTCTTCAGCTGAGACAGCTTCTCTCTCAGCTGCTTTGTGGTGGCCGCGTAGCCATCCTCGTCCATCCATTCAGACACCTCGCTCAGCTTGGCAGAGATCTGCTCTTTCTCCTCCTCTGACACCACCAGCTGGTAGTCGTCCTGGTACAGCTTGTCCTGGAGAAAGAGCGCAAGTATTGTTTTTGTGTGTTTTTGGGAAGAGGCACAGGTGATGTGGTGCCTTGGTGGTTTACATTAAAATGATTCAACAGCTAGGATTAATGTTTGCGCATATTCCCTTTACACTGCACTGGCAACTACAAATTGCCTTACATAAAACACTATAAAGATAAAGCTGAAAAACAGAACTTTCACTTCTGTTGCTCACCTGTGTCTCAAAAATAAAAGCTTCCAGACTGTTAAGTGTCTTTTCCCTTTCCTGTTTGGCCAAGTCTCTGTCCGTCAGATCCTGCAACCTGAAAAGATCCAAAGACTTGTTTTAGACGCCAAAACTGAGAACCCAACCTCACAACAGTTAAAAAGAATGACAATTGCTGCTTTACTTCTTCTTCGAGGAAGTGACATCATCTGCAGTAGGGTCGAGGATGTCATTGATGACGAGTTCCACTGCGATGTCTTCAGAGATCTTGCTCTTTTTCTGAGGTTTTGCCTTCTTTTCCACATCCTTCTCTGCCTCAGTGTTTCCAGACTTCTCTCCGTCCGTTTCCTCCTTCACCAGCAGAAATATGGTTACTTTCACTACCAGGTAGGAATGGGGATTGAGACCCAGTTCCAAAATTTCTCAAAACCCAAAAAGCAATAAGGTTTGAGCTTATTGATACTGCTATTGAGACTTGCGGGTCCTATGATGAAACGTTAAGTCTCGAGCGTAAAATCTGATTTAATTTGAAACACAATGGATAAGAAAATCATCAGGCTGCAGTCTCTGCCTGCTCTCTGTTGGCCAAATAATAGCAAAATATCTATAAATAATCGGATCGTTAAGCAGTCTCGATATCAATAAAAATGAACGATCCCCATCCCTACTACCAGGTCTGTTAAAGCTAATCTCTTGAGTACAGATTTTCACAAAGTGCTGTGTAAAATATATAACCACTGACCACTGAGACTGAATTCACATCGATGTGTTTCTCAGACACATTACGTGTAACAGATCTTACCTTGGCATCAGTCTTGCTGCCTGCCTCCTCTGTCTTCTCCTGACTTTTCTCTTCACCTGCACCTTTCTCCGAATCGTCCTGTTTCTCCTTGGCTACCTCGTCCTTCTGGGCCTCATCCTTGTGGGCCTCATCCTTCTTGGCCTCGCCATCCTTTTCAGACTCTGGAGGCACTTCCTCCTCATCCTGGACACAAGAAGTCAGGGACACATTCAGTTTCATCAATTACAGTGGACACAAAGTCTACACACCCCTGTCAGAATGGCGGGTTATTGAAAGGTTTTTATTTTTCATTTTTCCCCCCCTCAAAAGATTTTAGTTCGTTTTTAAATTAAATTGTTCACATTATAGATCACATTAAAAAGGTGGAAAAAGTTCTGACATAATTTATCTTGGCATTTTAACAGGGCTGTGTAGACTTTTTCTATTCACTGCAGTTCTAAAACCTACCTGAAGTGTGAAATCCAGAGTTCATACAGGCATTACTGTATTTTCTTAATAAACATATTCATATGATTGTGTATGTTTAATTTACGGCTGGGCGATATGGCCAAAAATGTTATCACGATAAAAGCATTTCAATCATTCGATATCGATAATTATCACGATAAATGTCTGATGATAAATTATTATTTCTTTCAAGTTTAAAGGCTGATTTTTGCTGCTGAGTGAAAATGGAAGAAACCAGGTTAATTGTGGTTAAACGTTTCTTTACGTGAGTGTGACAAACACTTGATACCAAACAGAGGATAACTTAACAAATCTGAGGTCGAACATTCAAAATTATTGTGACAAAATCTTTAACAAATATTAAATTTTCTCAGTCCCTTTTCCTCAAAGAAAAATGTATATTTCAATAGACAAATTAAGTGACAGTTCATTTGTGATTCAAATTAATTAAACCAAATATTTATTGATGATATATTGAACATTTATTATATTGTTATTGAGGATAATTATATTGCTATAATTATCATTATTGTTTTATTGCCCAGTCCTAGTTTAACTGACTGTACTGTGCCATGTATAGAACTGCAAGTACCTGGACAGGTTCAGTTACATTTGGAGCTGGTTCTGAAGATCCTCCTCCAAACAAGGTGGAAATTGTGTTTCCCAGTTCTGAAAGACAAGAAGGCTCATTTATGCATTAACCTATATCTAAAACAGGATGTAGTATTGCATGAATCAGCAAGAATACAACACAAACATGCATTATTTTCTGAAAGATCTCATAGTACTGTTCCTGTATTACGAACAGTGGTGAATAAAAGTGGAATGCTGTCGATGCATCATAGTGGATCAGAGGGCTAAAAGAAATGTACTTGGAGAGGAGGCAAGGACGTCTAACCAACCAGGTGGACCAGGGGCGGCAAGTTCAATACCCAGAATACAGTCCCCTCCAAAAGTATTGGAAAGGTAAGGTAAACCCCTTTGTTTTTGTTGTTCACTGAAGACATCTGGGTTTAAGATCTAAAGATGAGTATGAGACAAGAGTTCAGAATTTCAGCTTTTATTTCCTGGTATTCCTGGCCTTACCGTTCCAATACTTTTGGAGGGGACTGTGTATGTTCATTATCTGGTTTCACACAATTCGGTAGATAAACGGATAGACGATGCCATTGTCCATCGATTATGGCTGACACACATCAGGACGTTCAGCCAGCATCGTGCACACCAAATACCACACAGACAGGCAAAGCCAAGTTCAAGGTCAGGATAATACAAAACTGCTGCCGCACTGGTCTCTGCGCCTCCATGAAAACAGGGCCTGAAGTGCCACATTTCTAAACTGAACATACATTTTGGACAACTGAAGTTACAGATATATGATTGCAAAACCTACTAGTTAAGGTTGACTCTTCTTCTTTCTCCTCCACAATAGTTTCAAAGACAGACTCCACCTGTGGATGAAAAGCAATGAAATGCTAACTTGATTTATTGGAACAAATAATAACAATAAAACAAAAGATTTGAAATATATCCCTCATTTATACATTTTATACTATATAAGCTACAGCCTGGTGCTTCTTTTCCAATCATTTTCTGCAAGTATGTGATGAATATACTGACAGACCGCCAATATGTTGTTGTTTGACTGAGTTTGTTGTTAGTGCATTGTGTTAATTTCCACCCAAAACATTTTAACAAAAGATTTGGAGGTTGTGCAGGTTATTATGTGATTAGGTATGCATAAACCCTCAGATGTTTGTTTTTCACTAGTATTAATCTCCTTTGAGTTAAGCACATTTTCTTGGAGTTAAGTGTTTTTGGCTGGGACTTCAATAAGCTTCACTGACCACCATGGCAACCAGCAGAGATAGCAGAGAACACAGTCCACGTCCAACCAGTAAGTCTGACATGACGGAAGGTAAAACACTCAAACACAGTGTGTGAATGTTCAATAAGCTGAACTGACCCGATCCAGCAGGAGCACTCCACTTTCATCCATGTTAAAATGGGCTTTGATGCCTTTTGACTCTGCATCTGCATGCTTCTGGAAGCTGCTGCCTACTCCAGACAGTTTGACAGTGGTCAGGTTCAGAGAGCCAAACACACTGCAAACCAGAGGGGAGGGGAGAACAGGGCTTAGATTCAAGTCATGAGAGAATACAGTGACAGGTAACAACTTAGAAGGGTTCACACATTTCAACTTTTTTGAAAGCCAAAGTCAAGTCAAATGCCATAATATAAACTTTGGTTTGTCCTTTTCTTAAGACACGTCATGAACACTGCTTATGCAATTCAATTTCCATGCACAAACTTTATCAAGAGCTTCAGGAAGCAAAAAATGCTAAAGCAAGCAGTTATCCAACCTGATGTCATCCTGACTCAGGAAGCTGAGGTCGCCGTAGTTGATGTCGAAAGCGAAGTCATCGCTGTAGCGGTTAAATGTAATGACCTTGCGCTGGGGGTAGGGCGCCATCCTCTGGAAGAGGATCCGTTTATTGTGTTTCAGTGTTTTTACACCTTCTTCCTCAGTCTCGCGGGTGAACTCAACCTAGTGGAGTGAAATCACATGTGGTTAGTGTTGACATGGTATGTTTACATCTAATTTTGCATCCTGTTTTCATTTTTGTTCTGCACAAACGTTTATTGCAACAACTAATATAGTTCTTTTCTCAACAAAGCTGTTGTCAACCAATGACTTTCTGAAGCAATGGTATTTAAAATTGTCTCCAGCAGCATGAGGTAGTGAATGTCCTGCACTGACCTGAATGGGAAAGACAGCTGCGTCTCGAACCAGGAATGGTTTGACCTTGAAGGCCTTGCTGAGGGCAGCAGCCTGGTACACAGCACCCATGGCTGCCGCCTCGTCTGCATTGATGTTCTTCCCCAGCTCCTCTCTGCATGGAAAAATACACAATTACAACTGCAGGTATTCTCAAGCAAACCACACCTGCTTTATCTCAGTTTTCTCTGAACACGTCAGTGTGGACACAATGTGGAAGTTGTGGAGGAATGCAGTTATTTGTGCTCATTTTTGAAAGTGAAAGTTATTCAGATGAGTGTGACATCTCAGTGGTTGACACCTACTTGCCCACAGCTTTAAGCAGCACTTCCTGAACCTTGGGGACACGCGTGGAGCCACCTACTAAAATCACCTGCTCAATTTCATCCTGTTGGCACAAATATAAGACCTCAGAGTCACATCTGTAATACAAACATCCATTACTTTATACGCTTTATTTAAAATTTCTCATGTTTTTTCCTTAGTATAACAGTGCCGGTTTTGCCGGCCTGGTCCCATGTACAAGCTTAAACTGGTTTGATTTTATGAGAACAGACTGAACCAGTGTTTGTCATTGTAAAATGTTCTGGCCAAGCAAATAGAAAAGAAGCAGTTCTCAGCAATGCTAACCCTTTGATGACACAACACAGAGGACAAGAACTCAAAAATGCTGTAATACAAAATACAGCTGGGCTCAAGAAATGTAACAGCCACCTCACTAACGGTTAAAGCTATAAACCAGCACAATAGTGACCACATAAACCACCACGTTAATAGGGGTGCAGGAAGAAAAAAAAAAAAAGAAAAAATCATGGTCATGGACAATTCTGAATCGATTCACAAATGTCAAAAATGGATTTTGTAAATGTAAATTGATGAACATAATGTTGAGAAAAACGCTAAAGGCAGAACTCAGAAGTGAAGCAACTGGACAGTCTGTGGTGTACACATAACAGTGACCAGTGTTGCCCCCAAACAACTTACAGTACCTTGACATAGCTTCTATATTCTTTCAACGCAGCGCTGATGTTGAATAGTAGCACTACTACTAAGATTTCACACAATCATTAATATCAACATGCAACTAATGACTTTCACTTGCACACTGTGTGAGCACGGTAACACTGAACGCTGGGCTAGCAAAGGACATCTAGATGACAGGTGCTGCTGTTATAAGAGGAGTGCGTAATGTGTGTAGCGAATGTGTGGGTGAAGCGAGAGCGCGAGCAGGCAGAAAGTGATGGTGAGAGCTTGCAGAGCAGAGGAAAGGATGGTGACCGAGAGGAACTGAGGTTAGCTAATAAGGAGACATTTCTTTTTTGTTTTAATTTGCAAATGAAATGCTTTGTAATTATCCAGAAATCCTGGATAGAAAAAAGATGCATCAAAATGGATCGATAATTGTTTTACAGTGACTCAGTCTAACACTAGCATGGGAAATGCAGGCCGAAGCTCTCTCAGCACATCTAACAGAGTGCCAGTGTTTCCCATAAGAGACTATGCTGGGTGGGCCTCGGACCCTCTCGGGGGGTCCAGGGTAATGCCCCCCCGGAAGACAAATTTGTATATTTTCTATATTTTTGTTCTTTTGTTAAATGCATTCATTTGGCTCAAAATCTATGAAGGATTTTGCACTCTTGTAAACAGTGCTTTGCTCTAGTAAACCATTTGATCATAAACCCACTGTAATATACAGTATAAATGGTGATGAAACAGCAACAAAAGTCAACAAACTTTTTGAATGTTTTTCTAGCAACCCTAAATCAAAGAATAGAAAATAGAATAAGTTATTTCCCTAGCATTTTATTGTTGTTTTTATTTTATTTTTTACTTTTAATGGACACATGTAAAATGTTATAAACTTTCTGTCACTATAATCCAATTAATCTTGTTATTTCCATACTGTACAGACACCTTATTTTGAAAACCGGATGTTGTCACATGTTTATCCTCGTGCTAAATTCATCAAGTCCGACCCAATTTCATAAATAATTTTGTATGTGGTTCTCGTATTGCGTAACATGAAGACGTCACAGCCTCTCTTCAGGTAGGACTCTCATACTGCAACACTTGTCTTTGTAAAGAGAGAAAATGACAGGATAAAGTCGCTAACCTGCCTGTCAGCTCCATAAAGGCTTGAATAATGTGCACACCAAATTGAGGCGCAGCTAGCTTATTCGCCTTCTCACAAACGAGTGACAGAAACAGACAGTTAACGTTACTGTGGTTACCTCAAAAGAAAAGTGGTTGTCTCAAGTCGGATGCCAAAGTGTGTGAGCGTGCGAGCTTACAGCAGCGCCCACAAAACCCAACTTTAGAGGTCTGAAACAAGCAAATTAGACTGTGCAGGCCGCCATGGTCTCCTTAATTAATGGGAAACACTGAGAGTGCGCATCACAACTGAGCAGACAGGTGTTACACCAAAATCTGTGACCCATCAGATTCAGTGACCCAATGGGAAATTAATCCCTCAGGCTTAGGAAAAATTAACATGGTTTGGGTTTAGTCACAGAATCTGATGGGTCACTAAACTTGGTGAGACACCGGATTCCAGCCACATCTTCACAGTACGCTCCTAACAGCTTGTGAAATACATTGCGGGAAGGTTAACAATGACCCCATCATTTCCTCTTCAATATAACTAATACAACCCTGTTACTCATGCTTATCTGTTTGCTATGTTAGCAAGGTAAAATTACGCTTTTCATACAAACTCAACACTTCCTGTATTCATTTCAGTAGACAGAAACCCTTCACTTCTTAACAGGGCTTTTATTTTCAACAATTTAGTAGGAACGTGTCTGGAAAACTCATCTTTCATGGGTTCTTATTATGTTACACCTGGAAGTGGATGAGTCATGTGTGACACCTAGTGGAAAAATGTGATATCCAGAATCCAACTGGTTTGAACATTTTTGCATCGGCCTAACCCTAGTACACAGAAGGACAAGCAGGCAAAATATCTACTGCCTACACAATCCCTTTCTTCAAGTAAGTGATGGACTGCAGGACAATCCCATATCATGTGTATGCAGGAGTCTATAGCCTTTTGTCAATATCACTCATTTCCTATTGTTATTTTAACTTTTCTGTATCCTGCGTCTGCAGTGACCTACAGCCAAATCTCCCTGCAGGGATCACAAGTTTCATCTTAACCGGTCATGTGTGACACCAAGCTGGACTTCATGAGTCTTGTAGAGTCGGCCTATGAGAATACTGACCAGCTTCATTTCTGCAGCTGTGAGGGCATCCTGCACCGGGCGAGGCACTCTTTCGAAAAGATCAGCACACAGCTCTTCAAAGTCAGTCCTGGTCACCTTAGCTTTGAAGTCAATGTCATCCATCAAACCTTCCACCTGGAGGGAAGAAAAAAATTAAATTAAATTAAAAAAAGAAAAACACAACTTCATTGCAAAGGTACTGCATCCAAATGTTAAGATTATTTGGACTTGTCTTCTCACACAGCAACATTTGGGAGGTTTTAATTCTGATATACAACATTAATGTGAGACGCACATTTAGAGAGATGGACTGAAGGTTGCAGGTTTATGTTCCTGGACTCACCTGGGCCATGAAGTCCATATTTGCACTAAGCACCGTCTTGAGCCTCTGGGCCTCTTTGAGGAGCTTGGCCATTGCCCGGTGGTTCTCCCTTACATCTTTCTTGCTCTTCTTTTGCCCGTTGAACAGTTTGGCCAGGTGGTCCTGGAGTCGTATGTCCATCTCAAAGCCCCCCAATCCACGGTCAAACCTACAGCCACAGCAAAAGAAGCACACCTCAATCAGAGAACTAAATTACAATTTTAAAGTGTGGTTTTGGGAATTTAAAAATCAGCCAATAATCAAAACCAGGAAGTATTAAATATATCTTTTATACTCAAAGACAAACGTATAAAGCATCTTTAATTCCTTCTGGGGATAGACTCAATCACCTTTACTTCTAAAGTGTCAGTGGCCTGAATGTATATTACCACACCAGCTCCTGGGCCATGTTGAGTCTCCCCAAAATTCATGTCATAGTTTTAAACCACAGGAGATTAGCAAATAATGTGTGTTCAACAATTCCTGAGAAATACATCAAACAGGATCCTGGAGGGGACAAAAGTACTGAGTTTACCTTATAGAAAAAGTATCAATCAGGAGAATCCGTTTGCCTAACATTATTATTAGATACAGAACACATGTTTTACACAATTAAATGTTCACTCTGGAATTAAAACAGAGCTTCTAGCAAAGAGAGACAGTTCACCACACTAACAGACAGATGGTGACTATAGGTGCATCTTTTATTCCTGACAGTGTAGATGTTTTTACACTCATACTCATCACTGCAGGTCAGGATAACATGAAACAACATTGTGGGTATTAAATCTCTAAACTCAATGAGATGATGAAACATGCACCCACTGTTGCCTGTTTTGGGGCAAAAACCCCACACACTGTTAATTAGCTCCATTAATTATATCTGCAACATTTCAGTCAGGTAGACCTTATCTGGGGTTCATTTCTTTAAGCCTATTTTCCCCACAGACCATCTGTACTTTTGCTCAGCTCAGTCTTTAAGTCTATCACATTCTGAACCTTCATAGCGCTTTACAATTTGCATCACACAATGATGGTAACTGAGCTGCCATGCAAGGTGATGGCCTGCCCATCGGTGCCAGAGTTTTCTGGGAGGCAGCCTGTCTGCTTCTTCTGATGTCAGCCAACTACCTACACTTCAGTTGGAGATTGATAGCTCAGTCTGTTGTGTGTGTTGTCTGTTCTCTGTATGCGTCTTCCTGTTTTCTGAGTTTCATACAGGATGAAGAGGGCCAAGTCTCTCCAAAAGCCAGAAGGAAACAGATTCTAAATGTGCACACTGTAGGTGTGTAGGTTAGAAAAGTTCACATTGACAACTGCGTATCTATTTGTATTACAGATGCACATAAAACCATAACACTACATAACAAAACTGTAGACTAAAGGCAAAGCTACTTTTAAAATACATAATACTGCCCAAAAAGTCCACCCAAAACCGCCCACATCCCCCAAGTTCATTCAACATTTCAAAGCCTCTTTGAGAGGTCTGATAGTGAGAGGCTGGTCTCTCTGTTTCATTGGACAAATAAACACTTAGCTGATAGAAGCATTGTCAATAGTAATGCCCTTTCATGGAGTAGTGGACTCACCCAACACCTCTGATCTGTAACTGGGGCTGGGTTCCGGACTCCTTGGTTTTGACTGTTTGATAAGAGACGATGGTGGCAGTTGTGCTGCCTGAGCCCATATCATAAAACATCACATTCTGAAAGGGAAAAAGATCAAATTTTCAGCAATTTGTGGTCACTTATCAGTTGAGCCTGTTTTCCACCACAGTTACAGATAAATTATGTCAATATAGTCTATAAATATGAAGCTTCTTTAAACAGTCTGAACATCAAATACAACATTCTTATCAAGTGCTCCTCTAAATGGTAAAATACATTCAAGGATAGGATATGCATTTGTCAACAAATGGCTGGAAAACACCAAAACAGCTCACAAATATATAGTTTAATTTTTTTTTAAAGGCTCTGTAATTTTCTAAAATAGCTGGTCATTGTAGTTTTAAGCAAAAGTTACTTAAAACAGGAGGAAATAGTGCATTTGTTGGGGTCTATTTTCAGTGGCGGATGAATCCACATTTGGTGCTGTAGTGAGTATTTGGGGTAGCAGGACGATGTATGAGGGACTGAGTTAAAATAAACTGTAGTGTGTTCATGGTGATAAAGGAACATGTCACTCAGTGCAACAGTGAGACTCAACAATGGAGCACTATGTCTCAGAGGAAGAAGAGCCATAAGGCTGTGATACACAACACTGCTGGTTAGAATTGGATACATTGACTGTTACCTTGGGTCTGCACGTGGGATTTGATTAATACAGAATATCAGCAGACTGATTGTTTAACATGTGTATTTGGGAGTAATGCTGGAAGGGCACCTTAGCTGTGTTGTCAATATCTTTCCTCCTGAACACCCCATAGTTCAAGGCCACGGCTGTGTTGTCGTTGATTAGCTGAAGAACCTTTAGACCTGCCATCTGTGCAGCCTGCAGGACTGCCCTGCGCTCTGCCTGATTGAAAAAGGCTGGGACTGTGATCACTGCATCTTTGATTGGTTGTTCTGAGAGTTGGAGAGATTAAGAGGAGAGGAAGAAAACAAATGAATATGCTTCACTAAAACGTCAAACATTGATGCATCTTTTTCCATGAGCAAACTGACCTGCGAAGTCCTGAGCCAGTGCACGGGAATAATTGAGCACCATCCCGAGGAGCTCCTCAGGTGTGTACTGCATTTCTCTGGCAGAAAAGAAAGCAGAAAGCAAGGATATATGATTTTTCAGGTACCATTTCCTAATGGCAGCTACAGTACCTCACCATCAGTATTTTTACTAGAAAACAATCTTTGATGATCAGCAATGAAAAAAAGTGTTTGTGTTGAATATCATACAAAACATTACACTGCAGGGCAGAACAGACAGATACATCATATCACTGTATGTACTATGTAGAGAACTGGTGAGGTCAGGGGAATCACATGCCAACGATTTTAAAGACTCAGTATTACAAATGAATAACGTTCATGCATGCATTTCATTTATGAGAAACTGAAAAAAAAATGAAGCAGGGGACTAATAGAGAGACTCACTCTGAGTTTTTAAAGTAAACTGTGCCTCTGACTGGGTCCTCCTGCAGCTGGTGCTCAGGGAAACGTTTCTGGTAGAGCGCCACCTGGGGGTTGTCGTGCTTTTTGCCCAGGAGGCTTTGGAGGTGTCTATAAACAGTTTTTGGGTTCTTCACAGACTGAAATGTGCATGGAATGTGACCATAACAGCACAAGGAAAAGACCATTATTATTTTGAGGTAATCTGAATGTTTGAATTATGCACTGACTGAGCAAGTTTATTAGATTAAACTCAATTTTGAACATATGAAAAAAAAGTCATACCCATCCTAACGCATTATCTCCAAGAAGTCTTTCATTTTCTTTGAGACATACAGCTGTGGGTGTTTTCCTCCTTGACTCCCTGTAGGAAAAGACAGAAATAAAGTGTAATTTCATGCTGTATTAATTTCACTTGCTTTTGTTCTTTGGTTGTCCATTAAGTTGGCACGCTCTTAAGGAAACTGAAACTTGCTGTGGGTATTTCCCTCTGTTTAATTTAGTCCAAGCCAGGTGTGTACACTCATCGTACCATGATCAAGACCACCATTCAGTTATACTCACTTGTTGAGAACAATCTCCATCGGCACACCAGGTTTCACTATCGCCACTTTCATCCACTCACTGCCCAGGTCCACTGACATGACAGCTACAGTCACTGCAAACACAAAGATGTATACATAAGACTGGTATGGCAGATGGGCAACACCAGAGATCCTGAGTTACAGCAGAGTGGCATTATTGATCCAGCTCTTCTATTTCCAAACCCTGATCAATAGCATATGATTTCATTAAGGTGGCAGTGTTGCAGGGCTTCATGTTAGAAAAACAGTTCTGCGCATGTTAATGGATCACATTACCTGTGTGAGAAGGCAACTTTGCCAGAACAAGGCAAAAGAGAGCAATCAGCGCCAGCTTCCTCCCCCCCATGATGAGCTGTAAATATCAACATATGAAACATTTTATGAACACAATATAAATCAACTGCACGGATTATCACTTTCCCTAATCATGTCCATATTCGCCATGTCCAGTGTGTCGAAAACGTCAGCTTTGAAATGTCTGTACAGGAACCTCATCACCTGCCACCATCACTATCAAACAGCTTTTATCTCCTGCTCATATTTGTATATTGGCCTGCCTGTGGAGATCCTTTTTGTCCAGTGTTTTCATTCATTATGTGGGAGCAGTGCTTCCCCCAGAGGAACAGGTGATGAAAAGCCAAACCTGCTCATTTTGCTTCCAGCCTAAGCCTGATTCTTCACAGGGCTAGTACAATCAGGGATATCCTACTCAGCCTCTTTTGACACGTCCAATCATTGTTTAGTCATGGTTCCTCAGCGCTAATATGGCTGTGATTGGATCAGTGTGCCACTGCCAGGTAGTGCCATGACATCTAATGCACCTGATCCCTCCCACATAGGTGCAGACACTATCCAAACACGTGGCATTAACCACTCTGCACTCACAGGAAAGTATGAGTTTAATTTTTAACGGTGCAAATGCATGCTGTTGTCAGAACTGAAAACTCAGATTAAGTAAGGTTACATCAAAAACAAGAACACTGTTCAAGGGAGAGAACACGCAAGGTACAGAAACTTCTAGCCTCCAGTGAGCCAGTGACGCATGCAAAATGGATGTACCCTCATCATTAAAAAAAAAACAACATTTAAAACAACTCTAGTATTTTAGCTTCTGGAAGACACCTGGATGAACTGGCTAGTCATAGTATAAGTTGCTGATGTGTGTTTGCTAACAGTTAGCCAAGTTAGATACAACCATTATTGTTTGGCGTCACACCCTTAGCAGCTAACCGTTCAATGTAATTAAACACAACTTGACAATGGGGACCTTTCCATGTAAAAAGCTAGCAATAATAAGATGAAAGAAATAGCTCGGACATATGTTCACAGGTACTGTTAGCTAGCTCACTATCTGACAAACATCAGTATAAAAGCATGACTGAAGCACAGTGCTGTGGCATCAACTTACCTTTCCTCAGCCGGGACAAATGAAACCGTGAAGGGGCTACCAACAGACTGTACTTTCCTGGGCTGGTTCCAACTCGGTTGTACCGGTTTTACCTTAATGCTGAGCCTCTTTGTTGTCACCCTTGGTAGTTTCGAGTTCCCCTTATCACCGGCTTGCTCTCAGCAGTCGGGCCCCGAACGCGGCGTCACCTCATTGGATCCACTGAAGCTGCTGCTGCGAGCACAATTCACGTCAAATTTACAACAACCAAACATACTGTTTCCGGGTGGCATTTAAGAGCAAAACACACCGCAGAGAAACAGACATCACTGCGAATATCTTATTGTTGGATGAACACAGACTAGTCAGGGATACTTGTATGTGTGGTAACTGCCCGCTGTCTTGGATTAAAATTCGTTATTTTACAAATGCAAATTGCAAAACTGTAATCTCTTGTACTATACCAGCACTCATATATACTCTTATTTTGAAAGGAACACCCCCTTGTTTCCGGTAATTAACGTTGAGTCTAATGACGCCTGGTGCAACAACCAGCAATGACCGTCCAGTGCAGAGCTCGCCCAACCCCGCTCCACGCACTTCCTCGTGATTGGTCCACGAGTGACGTCGAAAAACGAATCCTGGCCACATCTCATTGGTCCACGTCCAGACAGTGGGCGTAAATTGAATGACGACATTCCCAGGTAACGTTTAAGTCTCAGCAAACCACATGCCTGCTTAAAATCATTAATTGTTTATTTACTGACTTTATTTTGAGTTAACTGAAGAGAACTTTCATAAATAATATGGTAACAGCGACAGTAATTTCAGTAGAAAGGATGTCTCCTGTCTGAAATCAGTGTTTATGCAATGTGGGAAAATAAGTGAACATTACTGACTAAAATAAACATCTTTACTTTGTTAAAGCTGTAAGTAGATTAATCAGTATAATCAGTGTTGTAAAAATCCACTAAAAAAGAAAACATCAGCTTATTTGCAGTAATAGGACTTTTCCATTACATTTAAGAGAAATTAAAGAAGAATTCTTGTTGCAAAGCTTGCCCTCCTCAGAGGGTGGCAAACAAACATGTCAACATAAGTTGTGTGTATTTTGCACTTAGAAAATGCACTTAGTCACTTTATTCACAATTTTAATCCTCAAATTTAAGTAACAGACATTAAGTAATTTCATTAATGACAGACAGTTGAACTATTATCTATATGTGCAAGATTACATAAGGAATACAAGCAAATTATCCAAGGTATGATTCAGCAAAGTTTTAGGACACAGTATTACATGTTTTACACTGCATGAAGTACATTTATAAAGGTCCCCAGTGAATAATAACTCGGAACACAATTATGCACATAGGTCCATCACAGGTACTAAAAGCAAGCAGCAGCATTTGCGGCAGCAAAGCATGTCGTCGAGAGCCTGCACTGATGTGAAGAGATACAAAGCTGGTTTCTAGCAGTTTCTCTTGGTGTGGATGAGAAGGTCTCTTTGCAGATTGACTTCCAGACTTCCAACAGTTTTGCTGCCAGGAGGGTCGGTGACCAGAGTCAGTTTGTTAAACACCCCTCGACCAAAATAGTCAGCCACGACAGAGAAACCATCATTACAGCTGCGTAACTGAAAACCACAGAAAAGACACAAGAACATGGTTTTACTCAAACATTCCTGTGGTGTGCACTGTAATCAACTTGTAAAATTATAACCTAATTATGTCTGTGGAGATACATAAAGTGGACAATTAGATTAAAACAGATTATGGAAATCATGAATGAAACAAAGTATTTTAAGTTTTCATTTTCAACTTGTTAAAAAATAGCATTTTCATTCTGACTTGCATAAATGGTATATGAGGATCCACTGTTTATATAGCAAATGTTGATTAACATTTGGTTATCGGCCACTGTACAAGCGGAATGTCAAATGTCAAACAGCTTTTGGTCATAAAACTCCCATATGAGTATGGGACTACTTGTCCTCATTACATTTTCATTTATACTCAAATAACACATCCATATGTGGAAAACTATTATGCTATAGTGGAATTACATTTTCATTTTAATATAGTGCCCTATAAGCTTCAATATTTTTTGTTAACTTCCTTCTAGTCAAAGCTCAGGTATTTTACCTGTCTGTTGAAGTGGTCATGCAGGTCGCGTTTCTGGTCCTGAGCACGCAGCATGTCCATGACTTTGCGGTTCTCTGGAGTGCAAGTTGGGCACTCAGCCTCACTCTCGGCGTAGCTTTCGAAGCAGTGTTGGTGGAAGGAGTGGCTGCACAGGAAATGAACAGACGGCAGCTCCAAAGGGCTGTTGCACATGTTACATTTGGTCTTCTGGAATATCTTGGCACTGGGGAAATATTGGAGTAGAGATTTAGACTCACAGTATGTGACTTCTGTAGGTCACATCAGCACAAGTTGTTTGCCAGCCCTCACCTGCCACCACTCCAACCCCCTAAACTACAAGGGCTGTAACTGACAGGAGCAACAATAAAAGTCATGAGAAAAATGAGGATGACATAATTGTAGTAACAAACTGGTAGAACTGGTGGCGTTATTCAATAAAAACTGGACTTGGAAAAAAATTTCCTGGCTGTCCAAGAGTTAAGTTCATGGAAAATCCCATCCTTCATGTGACCCACCTCGTTTTGAGCTCCTGGATCTCGGAGCGGAGGTGAGCAGTTTCTTCACGGTACTGGCGTATTTTGCGTTCATCGTCCTCTATCTGCTGACTCTCCCTCTGCAGCTTATTGATGAGGTAGTCCTTGATGACGGAGAGAGTGGCTGTCGAGTTGTGTGCCAGTGTCTGCACCACTACGGCCGCATAAAAATCATGGCTGTAATGCTGTGCTTCTTTTCAAACAACATCCTAGTGAGGCTAAGACATGTCAAAGTTTTCAAAGTGGAACAAATTTTAAAGTGACATTTATATCAAAATCTAAACACACATGTACAAAGTATGATATAAAATGTCCACCAGCTCACCAAGTAGTGGAGGCATCAGGTTGTTTTGGTCAATGTGATGTAGGACCTCACTGATGTACGCCTTGCAGTCCTCTTCTTTTCTGGCAAAGTATCCCAGCGCCTGCTCCCAAAGGCAACCCTCTTGGTCCCCATAGCGCTTGCAGGCTTCTACCACTTTTCCATACTCCTCATTCTGCATGTGGTAGTGCATTATCTGCTGGTACCTGCACACAAATGCAAATCATGTCCAATTTATCCACAGTCATAACATAAATACTTTATATACTATGTTGGATCACATTTCTCAGCCCCTCCCAAATGGAGACAACCTGTTAATTGATAACTTAATGTTGACGGAACGCAAAAGGCAAAAGGAACTCTCGGAAGTGCAGTCCCCCAACAGTCTGTGGTGCGCACATATCAGACCAGTGTTTCCCCTAAAGATCTTACAGTACACTGACACAGCTTCTATTTTCTTTGCCCTATATTCATCGCACAGCCACTGCTGAATGAATGAGCGCCGCTGAAAAAAACTTCATATGATCATTAATATCAATATGCAACTAATGATTTTCACTTGCACACTGTGTGAGCATGCTAACACAGCTACATGACAGGTGCTGTTATAAGGGTAAATTAGTTCTTTGAAGGAATAGGGCAGTGCGGGTGAGTGAAAGTGAGCGGAAAATAATGACGGTGAAAGCTTGCAGAGCAGAGGAAAGGATGGTGACCGGGAGGAGCTGAGGTTAGTAAAGCATATTAGGGATGCAAATTAGTCCTTTTAAGCTAATGAGGAGATGTTTCTTTTGGATTTTAATGTGCAAATGAAATGCTCGTTAATTATCAATATGCATCAATATGTATTGATAATCATTTTATAATTGCATCGCAGCCCTCTGATCTCGTCAATCAAATGGTAAGGTGCCTAGAGATTCCCACCCCTAATAAATGGTATAAATTAGTAGATAGATTTCCCTGTACATTTAAAGTGGTCTGATATAGACATTAATTAGATTAAAACAAACACACTGGATTTGACAAAGCTCATTTGATCATTCATCCTCATTAGTAAAGTTTGGATGTTTATTAATCTATCATAATAACAGAACCGAGTGATTTATCAAAATGCCGATATTATTGGCCAATATGAGCTAATTGCAAATAAATCGGTTTCTGTTTATAACAGCCGATAAATGCTCATTTAATAAAGAAACAGAGATGGAAGAAATCCTTCGGTCATGTTAAGTGTGTTGTCGTTGCATAGTTTCTCCACCAGAAGGCGCTCTGCAACTCCCTTGTTGGCAACTCACTAAATCCACTACAAATCACAGCAATCAGCTGTACTTCTGTTCAAATTACTATTTCTAACCATAAAAAAGCCTTTTAACCTACTGCATTATGTCATGTTATCTTAGTGAGATCTCATAACTACACGTAACAAATCTTAGTGATAATCTTTGTTTATGTTATGCGTTTCTGAAAAGCAGAAAAAATATAAAATCGGTCTTAAAAATCCGATAATGATCGGGCTCTAATTAATACTCAATCACGACCCACACAGGATGATCTCATTTAACATGTGCACTAAACTGGCTTTTGGTGTTAGCTGGTCATTCAGGTTCACTTCCCACATGGAAGCACTGAGTAATGACATGTTACAATGTGCTTCATACATATTCAGACACTGTTCTGTCTCCATCGCTTACAGTTTGCCCTTCTCATAAAGGTAGAGGACGCCTTCTTTGAAGTTGTGCATCTGGCAGAGGACCAAAGCCTTATCAAACACAGTGTGGTCACTCCTCAACAGCGACACAGCTTCCCCCTGCAAGACCTTTTTTCTCTGTCAAACATATGCATTAGAGAAAAAACAAGTTCAAAAGATTTTTCCCATGTTAGTCAAAATTTAACAGAGAGTAACATAATCACACATCTCTATCTACTGCAAATAGTATTACATTTATTATGCAAATTCATAGCTAGTCTGTGTGTTTTGGACTGACCTCTGGGTCCTGTTCGTGAGCCCAGTCTTGCAGCCGGAGCTCCAGCAGTGTGTCATACACACCCTGGGGAGAACGGGGGTCCACCTCGATCATGTGCTCCAGGAAGGCTTTCAGCTCCCGAGGGTTGTTGGCAAAAATTGGGATAAATTCCTCAGAGTTGGCCTTAAACCAAAACCCATATGGACAGTTGTTTAGGAGAACATTTCTGATAAATTTATAGGATCACTCTGGTTATTTCAGGACCATG